CTGTGGGTCCCCACCGGAAGATGCTTTAGACTTGGGGCAGGCTTTGGGGCCTTGTTCTGGGCCGATCCCATTTGGATGGAGTTTTACCCACGAGGGGACGGGTGACTTTGGGTGCTTCATTTAGAAACTAGATTCTTCACCTTTCCTGTATTGTTTCCTAGTTGTATTAAAGTTCCTTCCCATTAAAGTCTCATGTTTTGTGTTGATGCGGTGGATGGCAGAACCCTATATAGAATAGGCAGGTTTGCGGGGCTTGGGCTGCCCCTCTCCCTGCCCTGTAACACTCTGAGCCACACTTGCAGTGATATTTAAATGGCCCCTCCACTCCCTGCCTTACACACGTGGCAAAAAGCAAACTTCTTTCCACGAGATTCCCTTAACTTCTCTAGGGTACGGTAGTCCTGATTTTCTTTGCAGCAAATTCTCTACTATTCTTCTCAACCTTCACTTGTCTGACATCCACAACTTGCCTTCATATCTTTTGCCTTTATTTTTGAAAGATTTTTACACTGAATATGGATTTTTTCCCCTTATTTTAAATATATCATTCCATTGTCTTCTGGAATTTTTTTTTTCTGAGAAGCTGTTATTCTTATTCCCCGATCTGCTGCCTTTTTATACTTAATATCTGGCTGCTTTTAAGCCTTTTTTCATATCTACTTGTTTTCATCATTTTTGGCATGTGCGGTGTTCTTTGTGTTGGTCTCTCTTGGGGTTTGCTTACTTTTTCAATCTATAAATTGCTGTCTTTGATCAAACTGGTCAATATTTGTTCAAATGTTTTTCCTCCAAAAGTTCTCTTCTGTAGTCAATGTTGCCAATAAATAATAATGGGTTCAGATTTGCAGAGGAACGTCTCCCTGTGCATTTGACAGCCTCTCACAGCCTGAGGAACACGGTCCTGACAAGTTCAAGGGTGTTCATGGATGTCCTTCTCTGTAAAGTGCTCCCTCAAGTGGCTTCACCCCCACTGGCTCTGCGTGTTTATGAGTGTGTTTTCACACACAAGAGTGATATATTCTGAGCAAGTGTCTCCATATGTGCTTTGCACCTGAGTGTGGAAACCACTTAACAGTAATAATTCTGTCATACAGATTCAGCCAAATAGTACTTTTAGGTTAACAAATTTACATAATCTTGAGTCTAGAATAATGTTTATGATCAGGAATTGTCAGAATTCTTTGTGTTGCAAGTGACAGAAGTCTGACTCCAAGTTGATCAGGTATGATGGGGCATGTTTGGGTTTCTGCTGTCTCCCTGGGGGAGGGGTGGGGGACACTGAGCCTCGGGACTTGGGACTCCTTTCTCTCTCTCTCTCTCTCTCTCTCTCTCTCTCTGCTTCTCTTCCTCTTCCTCTTCCTAATATGTCAGTTTGATTTGCTCAGATTGGCTTTCTCCATTAGACCAAAATCTATCAAGCAGTCTATAGCTCAGGGCACTACCTTCCCAGCTTCACCGACAGAAAGGAAAACAATGACTTAATTCCAGGAGGGGAATGATGGCTTGGGATTTATGCCACCGCTGTGGGCAGGGGTAATGGAGGTATTTTCCTTCTCTCAGAAGGTGCTGCTTAGCACATATAATAAACCTCTAACTGCCAAGAAGTCAATTGGAAGGACTTTTCATCAATATGTCAGACTAGATATTCAGAGAGAGCTGACTACAGCACACTGAACTTTCTGGTTTTTTAACTTAATGCATAGTTGAAGTGTCAGGAAGATAAAGGAGTTTCTCAGAGAGCAGAAATTCAATAAAGAGGGCGGCAATTCAATAAAACTATGCCTGGCCTGTATATATATTTTTATCCCAGGTGGCCTAGAGCCTGGGTTTTTGGTCCACATAGTAAGTGTATTTTTCAAAATGTTTGAAAAACAGAATCTCATACAAATACATAGTGAGCACATGACAGGGTGTTATGTAACTCATTAATGAGAGACCCAGTAGAAAGACAAAACAGCTTAAAGGAGGATATAAAAATTTCATATGGATGGATGGATGGATGGATGGACGGATGGATACATAGAATGTTATAGTTTCTGAATTTTATTTTTTTAAATGACTAACTAGTCTACAGGCAAAAAAAAAAAGTCGTAACTTTTGGAATTGCCTCTCTTACCAGCAAAAACCATTTGCCTCTATCAACAACTACATATTAACACCTAACCTTCTAGATTATAAGGATTCCAAGCCCCTAATCAACAGAAAATACTAAAAGGAACAAAAGTGCCTTTCCCTGTCTAGAGAGTGGATGACCTTTCAGAAGCTCGCTGGACAATGCCAGAAATGACAGTGAAACATGCCATACCATACAGAATAAAACTGATTCTCATCTTAAACAGTGTATCCTGACATTGACAAGGAACAGGGCGGAAGTTGCTAGGAAAGAACTCTCCTTCCATCTGATATAGTTGCCTAGACTGTTCCCTGCATCAGCTGTCCTGGGGCATCTTCCTCTGAATGTTCTAAGATTATCTGTGTGGAGCTAGGCTCTGAGTCCATGCATGCTCTCAGAATTTGGACAGAAGGGCTTCCTGTTTCCTCTCATCAGTTGGGCTTCATCTTAATTTGCAAAATAATGTATTTGCATCACTTTATTTTCCTTGATGTTTATACAGTCTCCCAGCTAGTTATCTGGCAAATAAAGCCTCAACATTCTAGTCTGTCTGTCTCCATGAAGCTTGCTGAAGTGCTGTTTGCCAGGAGTGTGTTCCTGAATTGGAGCATGGAGGTTAATAGGGGCGCACCTTTGCCAACAGCAAAATGCAGCTGGTGAAAAGCAGGGACAAAATCATGTTTGCAATGACCTGTTTGTCTAGAAGCCTTGGGGAGGGCCTCCAAGGTCCACTTCATCTTGAAGTAGTGCCCACGGTGCCTCCTGAAGACAGTCCCCACATGCTTGATGGACTTCTTAGCATCAGTCATCAAACTTGGCAGCTACTGTTCACTTTCTCCAGGCCTCTTCTCACCACCTGCACAGAGAAAACAGAAGGTACGAGAACAAAAACCTTGAGGGTAATTTAACCCAAACTTGTCGCCCCTCATCCCTAGTGGTTCTTCTTCACTCAGAAATATTATTTGTGTTAACTCTAGACTCTGTGAAAAGAAAATACTGTTTCCTAGAGGGGAGAAGGTGGAGAGAGGGGGCAGGGGATGGGTACCGGCCCTGGAGCTATGGCGGGGGCAAGGAAAGCTGGCACCATGTGAGGGCGTGAAGGTGTTCTCCCCAAATCACCTAGCTTCATAAACAAATGGAAAATCACTCAAGTTTGATTGAAAAAATCAATAGCATTTTTTAATATGACGTTCAGAACCTCGTTTCCTGTGGCTGACGTCCCGCCTTGGCTGCAGCCTGAAGCAGGACACAGAACCCAGCCTGCACCTGCTCCCTGGCGCCACCCTGTGCCAGCTGGCCTCGGGCCGGGCCAGAGCTCCACAAACGGGGAACTTCGGGAACAGAGATTTGCCCTCCCGGAGGCCAAGATCACGGTGTTTCTGTCTGAGGCTGTGAGAGGGAATCCCACCCATGCTCTCCCCTGGCTTCTGGAGGGCCCCAGGAACTATGACCTTCTTTGACTTGTGCTGCATCACCCCACCTCTGCCTTCATGCCACAGGATGCCTGTGTGTGTGTCTGTGTCCAAATTTCACATGCTCAAGTGTGTCAGATTTTTGAAAAGAGATAAAAAGCAAGCCTTGGTCACCTCCCTTGAGGAGGTCCCCTCCAAAACACAAGTGAGAAGTTCCCCATGAAGACGAGCACAGCAAGCTCTCTTGGCACAGTCAACGGCCAGAAATACGGAAGGGGTCCGCTCCGCCGCACCCACAGCAGCAGTTCGTTACCTCATGTCCCCACAGCCCTCGCCTCCATGGGTTCACCTTAGTAGTTTCTCGCTGATTTACAGGGAGGAGCAGGCCTGCGTCAGTCATTATCACTCATGCTATCACAAAATCAATATAAACAATTCAGGAAAGATTAAACGTCTTCAGAGTCGCCCCACACCCATAAACCAAGCAGAGTTTGGGGCCTGCCATTCAATTCAGCCATAAGAATCAGGGAAAGAAAAAGAAGGAGGTTGAGCAGAAGAGAAGGAGCAATGGTGAGGGGGGCCAGGACCCCAAGGTCACGGTTTTGGGATGCCACAGCTCAGTGGTCTGTCCCGGGGCCTGGTGAGCTGCTAGATTTGTAGCCCCCCAAATGGCCAGGTTTTCCTGCCTGAAGCATCTGTGTAACTTCAAAGATACACAAGGGAAAAAAAACCCGGTTCTTACACAACATGGCAAAATCTTTTTCAGGGCCGACCAAGGTCGGGCAGGACACGGGAGCCGTGGGAAGAAAGTACAAGGCAGATTTAGCCCAGGGAATTGTCTGGCGTTAGAGACACACGTTTGTACAGGGGACCAGTGAGGCTGAAGAGAAACCAGAGTCAAATGCCACGCAGCCTCCAGAACCCAGCAGCTTCAGCAGCTGCCTTTCCACAGGCTTCATCTGATGACACACGGCGTAATCCACGCCAGCCCCAGCAGGCTGTGCTCTCGGATTTTCCTCAGCCTTGGGATTTTGCCATGTCTTTGACTGTGATTTTACCACCGACTGCTGACATTTCCTTCCTGACCAAGGGCCTCCCCACCCTGCCTGCCTGTCCTTTGGTCCCTCACCCATGTCACCACAGCCCCAGGGCCTGTCCCCAGCCTTGACAACCATATGATGGCAGAACAAACAGAAGAGAATGTCGTTACCCCCAAGACATGGGCCCTTCCAATGAGAAACATCAAGGAAGGGACAGCCTGGCCTTTGTGCCCAGTTCCTCCTGTTCATTGTGCTGATTCCAAGCTGATTCAGAGCTGGGCCTCCCAAAATCCTGCCCCTTCATGGGACCCCCTGCTGTTCACCCCACACACCTGCATGGTCATCTGCAACCACACTGCGTTTTAGAGGATCCTTGATGGGTGAGTCCTGGTGCAGCCCCGGACACCCCTTCTAAGGGCTGGCTCCTGCCCACCCTTAGGTGGGTCTGATGCTGGAGCCCAGGCCAACTGCTTGGGTCAGGAAGCACAGCCGGGCGCCTTCCTTCTGGCGTCTTTGACTGGGTGCTGGAGCCTGAGTGCCCGGAGGAAGCAGATTCACCCCACAGCGGCTGTTCCTACCGTTGATTTCCACAAGCATCGCAAACATGGCAAGCTGTGAGGAGGGAAGGACATTCGGTTCCTCCAGAACCAAGGGAATAGCGCCCTGGCCGGGCAAGTTTGCATTTTAATGTCTTGAAAAGCAGCCAGCTTTGGGACGGCACTTCCGCCATTTTTTTTAAAGGTTTCCTTTGTATTCTCCTTCTCTGACAGCGGAGGCGGTCAGCAGTCGCCTCGGAGAGCCTCTGGATTCGAAACCGAGAGTTTGAAAGGCGTGCTTCCAGGGCTGCGTCCCTCCCTCCCCCAAATCCCTACGTTGAAGGCCTAAGAGAGCGACCTCGTTTCAGAGTCACTGCCCAGATAACTCTTTAGGATGAGGGCAGACTGGAGGTGGGTAGGGCCCTGCTCCAGCATGAGTTGTGTCCTTGTGAAAATGGGAATCTGGACATGTGTGTGCGAGTACACACACACACACACACAGAATGGAGGGTCACCATGTGGAGACGAGGGCAGAGATTGGGGTGATGCCGCAGCCAAAGAGGCCAGCACCCCTCTGGAAGCCAGAGGAGACCAGAGTGGAGTGTGGAAAGAATCGGAAAGAACCAACTCTGCCCACACCTTCATCTTGGGCTTCTAGTTTCCAGAACCATGAGAGGTGCAGTTCTTTTTGTTTTATTTTTTTTTAATTTTTTAATTTTATATATATTTTTACATCATTTTTCATTTTTGCACCACGTATGCATTTTCAATGGGTTATAGTCCCCATACAATTCCCACCCCCCTTATTTTGATCCTGGAGCTCACCCCCAAAGAAGCAGCGAGGGTGGTGAGCCAAGTGGAGCCACCCAGGGGGGCACAGCACTGCCCCGCCACCACAGAGCATCCCTGCAAGTGGAGGGGGCGGGGGCAAGGGGAAGGGTGAGCTCTTTAGGGCCAGGCAAAGCTGTGCACACAGACCCAACAATAGAACGTTTTAAGGAACAAAGAATGTTCTTTGTCCAGTGATGGCTGCAGGAAAGCCCCCTCCTGTCTCCCTGCTGGCGCTGCTGCCATCGTGTGGATGGCCCTGGAGGCTCCCTGCCGCCTGCCCTCGGGCTGCAGGAAGCGGGACAAGCACAGGAAGCCGGCAGGGTGCCTGAGTCCCAGGTGTGCCCACACTCGGTGCCTCTGTTGGTGGAGCTGGCCCTGGGCTCTCCCCCCAAGGGAGGCTGGGAATGGCGTCCAGCGGGCAGCCTCCCAAGCTGTTCGTTACTGTCTGCTGCTATGAAGGAGGAGAAAATGGCTGTGGGCACAGAGAGCGGCCCTTCTGACAAAAAGGTGAAAAGGTGGAGGGGCAGGCGGAGGGAGAGTGAGAAGAATGAGGAGACAGAGAATGAGAAGAGGGGGGAGCCTCCACTGGCTGGGGGAGAGCCCAGGGGTGAGATTCCATCCCCGCCTGGCCTTGGAGCTCAGCTCCCCCTCCCTAGTCCTGGGCTCTGTCTGGGGCTCCACACTGTTACAACAGTGCTCCTGCTCGCTCTTGTTGGGCCACGTTAATGAAACAAATTGACCAGATGACCAGAAACAGTAACTGGACGGGAGGGGCAGCGGCAGGTCCTCTTCTGGCTTGACGCCCCCCGCCCCTTTCCTGCCCTTTCTGTGGAGGCTTAACTTTTTTAAAAGTTCTTGCAGATGCTGCCTCATCTCTTTCCTCCAACAGCTCTGCCCGAGCAGGGACCACGAACCCCGGGAGGGCACAGGCCCTGCGGCGTGCGCGAGCCGCAGACCCGCCATGGCCCGGCCATGTGATCTTCCTCAGCTCGCTCAGCCCCTCTGATCGCGTGTCTCTCCACTAGAAACGGGGCTATGCACAGACGGCGCCTACAGCCAACGGTTGTTCAGTGCCTACTTCATCGGCTTGTCATTGAAGCGAAAATATATTATTGAGCAAATGAAAATAATAAAGATTCCAGCAGCACTTCCAGCCCTGGTGCGATGAACACTCCGCTGCAGGCATCATCCACAAGTTTGCTTAGCAGCAACTTCCCTTGCAAGATTCATGGCCAGGGCCTCCGCACTCATAAAGTAGGTCGGGCAGCCAACTGGCTGGTCTCTCTCTCCAAGGCCATCCCCAAATGCCTGCATCTTTCCCCCCATTGCCTGCGCCCCCTCTTGTCTGGGGACTTAGCGGCGAATGGTTGTGCCTGCTGAACACCGATGCTATCCGTGCAGATATAGACACAGTTGTCTATAAAAGGAACCCTTGGTCTTTAAACCGGGGCTCAGACCTTACGGGGCTACCCAGGTCTGGGACCTCATGCACGAGTAATAAAGCTTCTCCTGACCTCCCCTCTGCCTGGGTAAAGGGCTAGAATTTATTTCTGCAACATCATGAGGACTGAGTGAGTAATCATGTGCACACGGTGTGCACTTTACAGATGGAGAAACTGAGGCTCAATTCCCGCGGCCTAACTTCCCCTTCTAGTTCCCCGCCTCAAGGCATAGCTTCTGGGGGGTCAAATAGGCAGGCCAGTGGCTTTCTGGGGGGGAATGAACATTAATTGAAGGCTATGAGGTACTCCAAATATGTGAGAACAGGAACTCCAGAGTGGAGATGGCCAGGACTATCAGAGAAGGCCCAGGTGGGAACAGGATAAGATGGATTGAAGGGGTAATGGCTGTCAAGCCACCACAGCCCTGGCCTTTTCATTTTCCAGAGGAGGAAACTGAGGCACACAGCAGTCCCGGGCAATCCAGCAGCGAGGGCTGTGGGATACGGATGGAACCACTTCTGCCAGAGAACTTTCTCACCCTGGGGAGAGCTGCTGAGCCACCATCAGCATCAGCCTCTGTGCTCACAGTGACGGTTGGGGACCATTTCGGGATCTTCCCACTGCTGGCCACACCTGCCTGAGCCAGGTATAACCAGAGGGGGAGCAAACTTGCTCCCCCTTCCCTGTCACACGCTGTTCTCGCCTGTTTTACTTTCAGCCCTCTAGGAACAGGAGACAGATAACCTTTGAATAATCTGAAACCCCAATAAAAAGAGTCTCTTTCTCTGAAAAGTACACAGTGTGTGGAAGGCTTTCGTACTTAGTGGACTTGCAAGATTTGTATCAGCCCTCCAATTTCTCCGTGTGCTTTGGAGGCAGCGAGGGGAGTGATATTAGCTGTATAAAAGGTCACCGCCCCAAGAGATGTTTTCAGCCAAGTAAATTTGACATGGCAGGCTGGGAAGCTCTTGGTAGATAATAAGTTGCTGATAAGACCCTGGATCAGGTGCAGAGTCACTTCTCACACAAGCAGGCAGGGCAGGCCATGCTCTTGCACGCTCTTGCTCCTCTTGCATGCTGCATTTGCTCGTCAATCTTTTTCTTCTCTGTTTTTATTCTTTCTGCTGCCTCACTGGTTTCATCTCCAATTTGCTTCAGGTCTCACCTGAATTTGCAACCAGGAACTTTTCCACTTCAATGTGGTTTTGCTGGTTCTCCAACTTGAACGTGGATCAGAATTGTTTGGAGGACTTTTGGAACACCCCCGGAGTTGGCAACGCCTGAGGTCAGGGGTGGGAATGGAGAATCTGCATTTCTGACAGGTTCCCAGGTGATGCGGGAGAGAAGGGCTTGCTGAGAACAGCTTCCCTTCAGTGTCTCCCTGGGCTCTGCAGGAGCCAGTGCCACCAAGTCACTCGGCACTTTTGTGTCACCAAGGGCCCAGGGAGAGCTTCAGAGCACTGGCAGCTGTCCAGTCAAGCTCCAGAGACATACCAAAGGCCTTCCTGGAGGGGCTATTCTGGTGTGCCTGGGAGCCAGCAATGCCGGAGTGCACTGAGCCTTGAGCATCTGGCCCCTGCAGGCACTCGGACTTCCTCTCACTCCCAAGGGGATGCACTGGTCCCTGTACAGCCAGCTGTGCAGGATCAGACATCCTGGGTGGCTCAGGGCAGGAATGTCAGCACCCCCAAGGGCTCCTCTTCACTCTTACCTGGGTAGGATTGGAGGTGAGGGCACTTCTTGGTGTAAAGATCCTGGAACTTTGAGGTCTAGTCTGAGAGGCAGTCCTTCTTTTAACATCAAAAACCAAATAAACGGTCTCCCCGGCGGTGCAGGGGGTTGAGCGCTGCACTGTGAAGCTTTCTGCAGCCTCTGCAGCACGGGTTCGATTCCCGGCCCGCCAGAGAGATTCCCACATGGCCTGGCAGACCTCTCCTGCTTCGCCCGCTGCTCCCCTCAGCAGTGTTTTCGGTCTGTCTGCCTGTTCTGTTCCCCGCTCTGTCTCTGGTGAATCCTCTCACCCTCCCGCACCTCTGACTGCACTCCAGTTCTTGTATAAATAAATAAATCTTAAAAAAAAACAAATAAAACATAAGGTTCATTTCCAGTCCTCAGAAAGAAGCCAGTGGAAATCATTAAAAAGAGAGGTTCCGTTAAACATAACAGCTGTGTTGGATTAGAAATAAAAGACATCTTTCCAAATAGGAATTGAGTGGAAACTTAATTCTGGTCCTCAGGATAATCTAAATGTCCTTGTGCTGGCCACTTAGGAGGTAATCACTCTTCGACTCTTCCTAATTCACAGTTCAAAGGGTCCACGGTTTTCCAAGAAATCCTGTGGCCTGCGGCCCTGCACCCGGTTCTGGGGCTGCCCTCCGGTGGCCGCCTGGGTTCTAGCAGCTCCACCTTTCCTCTGACTCAGCCTATCTGCCTGTTTAAAGCAAAGGACCTGCCTCTCCCACTCAGGGAAGGTAGTGGGGGAAGGTGGGTGGTGGAAGCAACCAGAGGGGACATGTGGCCGCGGGTCTGAAAGTGTTGCCTGAGCGGTCGCTTCATCAGTTTCTCACACAGAGCAGGTGAGAGAAATCATCCAGACAGGTCACTGATTTTTGTGGATGTTAAGAGGAAACGCGGCAAGTGTGATAGACAGCAGGTTCTTCAGTGCAGAGACGGATACAGGCACATCCATTTCCAAAACCGAGGAAGCATCCTCCTGCTCCCCGCAGCTGCGCCTGTTCTGCGTCTCTGCAGCCACCCTGGCGAACTCTGCGCTGGTCCCTCTGTCCCTCTGTTCCCAGCAGCT